TAGGAAAAAGGTGACTCGACCCCAGATTTAAAAAGACATATGGAAAGGGGGACCATACCCAAAGTGCCTGTGTTAGTACCCAAGGAAATTCCGACAGATTGTTGGAAGACTTGAACTACATAGATATTGTCAAAAACTGCATAGATATTGTCAATCAGAAACTCAAGCATCTTTTTAATATCAAGAATATGTACAATCAGAATGCTCTTTACTATCGAAATATGGAGATAACGCACAGTAATCAATCTCTAAAGTCCATTGAGACAAATCAAATAGGGAACAGAGCAAATACGGACCTCTAAAAAACATCAGAGGTGGGATCAGGTGCCATGAGGAAGTAAGCATCCCCTCTCGACCGGTCAAACCCGCCGTGTTGTCATGAACGAGCAAACAGAAAAACAAATTGGGGAATAGTTTACAATTTACAATTAGTGTACAATTTCTAAAACGAGGTAAATTATTGACAAATAAGGTGATGAAACAAGAATATCAGCAGTCTCGTTTAAAGTCATCATTTCGTAAGTTCTATGGTCGATACAATGACCTTGTCAGCAAATACAATTTATCATTATCATTGAATCAAATGCTGACTGACGTTTTTCACACTAATTGTTAGGCCATTATTTACACACTGAATTGTGTACGGATTTTTCCGTTATTTCCCGATCATGACAAGGAGCACACGGCGGGTGTGACGGGTCGGCAGGGGATGCTCACTCCTCCATGGCAGCTGATCCCACCTCTGATGTTTGGAGGTCCGTGTTTGCTCTGCTCCTATTTTGTATTGATTAATGGACTTTTGAGCTTGAATGCTGTTCGTTATCTCCATATATTTCATTGTATAGAGTGTTGAAAAAAAAAGTATTTTGATGTTATTAATTTTGGTAAAATTTTGTGATTTCAAATTTTCTAGAACACCCTTGGAGTTTTTTTAAGTATCTACATCTGATTTACTCCACTTCTCGAATATATTGTTGAACAGTACTCCTAAAGACTTTTTGCAACTGGACTGTGTAATGTCAATTGACCTATACATTGTACATATTGATAAAACTGGTGTACTGGACTGAATAATTAACACAAAAGATAATTCTACGTTCTCTCCTTAACCTCAAGTTTACTTTTGTAATATTAAGGCAGCATATCTTTAAAAAGAATAAATATTGTGTATAAGATTATATCGGATACTATATCGAGAACTGTTATGAGCAGTTTAAATTAAATATTTCTGCATTAAATGAGGAATTGTATGATAAACGTAATAAATAATTGTGTTAATAGAACAATTATGAGTGAGGTTTATCTTTTCTTCATGAAATTAACAATTATTTTTCCTTGTGAATAATAATAAATTAGTTCCTGTTCAACAGCACAAAAGACGAAAGAACATTAGATAATAACGGTGACATTTAAATGTAGGTCTTAATTCTGAAATTGTTAATTTCAAATAATGTTGACTCTACCATAACTTGTTGTCACTGCATTGCAATTTTGATAAATTTTGTATCATAAAATGTTTGGAATACTAGTAGTTTAATAGGAATTTAAATATTCCATTACAAACTTTCAACTTACATTTCAACGACAAGTGTTCAATTGTGCACAATTATTTTGAAACGGAAAAAAAATCCCAAAATATCGGAGGCCTGTCTTCCTAAAATGAAAAAGGGTGACATAATCTTTTTAGTCAGGAGATTATTTTAATTCATCTCAGAAATTCAATTTTATCCATCACATTGCCTTCTATAGTTTATCTATGAAAATAATAATGGAAACATATAATGATAGTGATTTATATTAAGGCATATTCATTTTCGAAGAAAGCATTTACAAATACAAGAAACGTTCATATGGAAATATAAAAAAATACCAACACAGGTTTGTGTAATATTAATAGTCAAATTCTGTTTCGGTTAAAGTTTAAGTGTGGTGGTGCCTAGGAGCCGGCCGCACACACAGTGAGCCCTAAACAAATAATGTCCTTTCTGAGAAGTTAAAGCTTTCATTATTCGGTAATATGTATATTTATTGACTCGGTTCTCGGGCAAAATGCGTTGTTGTACCGAAGAACCAAAGTTTTTGCCTGAGGCCGTTGGGCCGAAAAGCATTTTGCATGACAAGAGAACACAGTCAATAAATGTTTTGATATACATTTCATTTTGACATATCTTGCGCATATCTCCCCCCCCCCTCCCCTTACACACACACACACACAAGGAAAAGAATTCTTGACACTTTTTGTCAAATGTTTTTCAGTCAAATATTATTTCTTCTATCTTGCTTGCCTCTCACTTTCAAAATCTATACTACGTGCCTGTTAGTGTCAGATATAATTTGTTACATTAAGATACAAGGAAGCAATTCAAACAAAGTCTATAAAACTTTAGAAACAGGCTCAAAACTAGAAACATTTTTATTGAGGAAAAAGAAAAATGGAGAGCTATAACTTGTTACTTTTACTTTTGCTGGTGCCGGTCATCAGAGGATGTGTGGATAATGATTGGTAAGGTTTTAAAAGATTTTATCAATAACTCGAGTATTCTTTTTAAAATATCATATATATCACTCTCTTTCTCTGAAGAATATGATTTACACTTTAAGTAAATTTTCAAAACATCTACTTTGTAATAATGACCAAAATGAAATCTAAAAAGAACATTTCTTGGAGTACTCTTTCATATTGTGTAGTATATTGCAGTGATGTATGTTGTTGTCGTTGATTTTTTTTCTTAGTTATATATAGTTCATTTCAGATTGAAACTACGTTTTAGGATTTTGATTTTAAAGTGTCTTTATTTAGCTGTGAATAAACGATATCTTTATCTGCAGTTTGCATTATGCAGATTTATCATTCTCAGCATTAAAATTGTGTGTGTGTGTGTGTGTGGGGGGGGGGGGATACTTCAATGTTATCAGTGAAGACTTTAAAATGTGTACACTTACAGAATGAAAGATATCATACCTATATATATATATATATATATATATATATATATATATATATATATATATATATATATATATATATATATATATATATATATATATATATTATACATATATTACATGGCTTCGAGGGCAACATACCAGAATATTTGCCCCCGAGGTGACAGGAAAGCCCTGGAGTGTTATGTCGCCCGATGCCGAAGGCAGAGGGCGACATAACACTTCAGGGCTTTCCTGTTACCGAGGGGCAAATATTCTGGTATTGTTGCCCGAGAAGTCATGTAATATATGGTATATAACATTTTTAAAAAAAAAACCAAAATCTGACATATGTATTGAAGACTATGGACCTGTGTAAATATCTGGAAAAAACATGCAAATTGTTTTTTAAATAGTTGATTGGTGGGTACCAATAGTTTCGATAATAATGCTAAGGAACATTAACACTATTGTTGTTTAAATGATAACGGGGGACGGCTGAAAGTTATGAAGGCTGATTTCTCTTCCTCTATAAATAATTCCGAAATATTCCGTCTTGTTTCATTGCAGAATGTTTTCAGCACGCTGACACTTGTGCTTATAACTTTTGTTGTATTTACGGAATTTTTTCCTCAATCAAACTATCTAGTTCCTCTGAATTTAATGAACATAAAAAAACGTAGACGTTTTCCAGACATTTTCATTTTCGCCGAACTGTTTACGTTTGCTTAGCAACTGCCTCTGTGAATTTCGAACCCGATTTAATTAATATGCAGAATGATTACACGCGAGGGAATATAACGGTGTTCGGGAGGGCAACATAACTGTTTCCGGTGTAATATAACTATATCCGGCGTGATTCAGCAGTTTTTCAGGGCATATGGATAAAAATATCATATTTGTGATATAATGGGAAAACTTCTTCAAAAATGTTATATATATATATATATATTCCTTTCAAAAATGACAGTTGGACACAAAATAATTTCTGATTAAATTGGCACGTTTTACAAGCAATGGCATATTTTACATGGCAGACGTTTATACACGGGTTACCACTTCCTCTTACTCGCCTTTTGTGAAAGTTTTTAATACGGAAAAATAATTTTTTTTTCCTAAACATTTTCAGGCTTTCTTTAATAGTGTAAATTTAAATAGAAATTTTGATCTAGTTGATAATTTAAACACTTTAATGAAAAATAATCAGAAAAACTGCCAAATTCTTTAATTTTTTCTTTTCAGTAAGACAAACATACCTTTACAAATCTAATTAATTTCATGCGCCTTCCCTTTTGAAAATGAAAATATGTTATATGTGCTAAAGTTACATATTGGTCCAATGAGCCAGGTATAATTGTATACCTGTTTCTATTGTTATTTCAATTGTATTTGTATATATACACATGTCACAATAATAAGATATTTAAACACTTACTTCAGGCCAAAGAGCTGCTGTTTAAATTACAGACTTACTAAAACGGGCTCCATACGTATGTATATGTATTAATTAATAACTGTGTGCCCAGTTTATTGTTTCACTGGGCAATAAATATAAATGATAGTTTAAATAAACAGCTCAAATGCCAGTAAAATGAGAAACTCTTTTCTAACGCTCTTTAAGGTTGTAAGCCTGGTACATATGGGATAAACTGTTCAGAGCCGTGTCCTGATGGTCAGTACGGAGAGGGATGTTTTTCTGTGTGTCATTGTACAGAGGGAGAGATCTGTGAGAAAGAGGTGGGGTGTATAAAACAGTCAACTCCAAGAAATGGTTCAAATGTGTGTGATTGTACAGAGGAAGAGGTCTGTGATGAGAGGGTAGGATGCGTGAAAACTCCAGCCCCAAAAAGTGAGTCAACAGCTGACAATGATTCGATCACTACTGTATACAGCAATTCTACTTTGACGCTTGGTACAACCAAAGCGCAATTTATTTCCACAAAGGTGAACTAAAGTCTACTCTTTAAATTATAGGTCCGTCTACTTTGATGTACTGCTTATTATACAAATTATTTTCTTGAAGAAAGAGAAGCACACCTTAGACTGGAGGGTGTACGTAGCAATGATGTCATAATCATTGGGAGCTCTCTTGTTCTTCTTTGCATAATTTCCGTGATCGGTTATCTCTGTTATTCTAAAAGGTAACCAAACAAGACAAAACAAATTCACTACAATGAGCAACAAATGTTCGATAAACTAGGTTTATAAATCGTAAATAGTAATGATATTGTTCATTTCCAGGCCTGTAGCAACTGTTTCAAAAGTGGGGGGGGGGGGTGCAACTTCCCAAAAAATCTGACAAGCAAAAGAAAAAAAAAAAAAAAAAAAAAAAAAAAAAAAAAAAAAACCTAAACTGACCGAAATTGGGGGGGGGGGGGCAACTTCCCAAAATTATCTGACAAGCAAAAAAAAAAAAAACAAAACAAAAACAAAGACAAAAACAAAATACACACATAAAAAAACCCCCTAATTTACTGTCCAAATCCTAGAATTTGCCAGTGCTCGACCTTACAACATCGAAAAAGTGTGTGTGTGTTGTGTGTTGGGGGGGGGGGGGGAAACCATGCAGCATCTAAAGGAAAATTTACTATAGCAAAATACTACACTCAGCGTTCTACGGGCCTGCATTTCTGTGGACAACCATAATTAATTTTGAAGTAATTTATTGCGATCCAAAGTTTTAAATTACAAATTTAATGTTAAAACATTTGATATTTATTGTTATACCTTTCAAAATTAGTTCCTATATAACTGTTTAAATCTATACTTAAAAAGTTAAACATTTCCAATGTTTTACTGAGGGGTCATAAAAAATGTGAAATATTAGACTTATCGAAGAGATACGTAACACTGTGGCCCTCGGGGCGGGATCAGCTAAATCTTATCTACACTCGTTGGTGTTCGACATTGACAGAATTGACCGAGTTTTACTGCAGGTAAAGGAAATTTACATCATGGAAGCCAGCAAAAAATACATGTATGTCAAAAATAAAAGGTATAACAAAACATTTATTAACTGTGTTCTCGGGCAAAATGCGTTTTATCGACCCCTCGAAACTGTTTGCTTTCGGCCTAACGGTAGCAGACAAACAGTTTGGTTCTTGGGTCCGACAAAACGCATGTTGACCGAGAACACAGTCAATAAATGTATATTGTTGAACAACTCATCTAAAAAAAATGTTTTGAAGCAAAATCGGTAACTATAGTTCAATTAAGCTCTGCAAACTAAATTACAATAATGAAACCTACTTTATCAAATACTGAATAATATTTACTCAATTGAATTTGCAATGCCATACTAATAATGGAAGAATCAAAAGTCTTTTTTTTTTTTTACAATACGTTTACCGGTATTTGACAATTGATAAGTATCATATTTTAATAATTACATATAATAATATATTAAAATTCTACTTTTTAGGATCATAAAAAGAAAACGAAGAAGTAAGTAATATTTATGTAATTTCTTATATTAAGATAGAATGAGGCATGTGCAATGTATAAAACTACCATTTGATGATAGATTTTCAAAATGAAATATATTTTAGAGAGGGGCAGAGCTCATCTAGGGCCTGATGTCAGAAACACCGCAGAGCAATTCAAGGAAGACCAATGTATATATAGTAAAATAAGTTCTATATCTGTCCAGGAATCTCCTCTCCCTCTTGTAATCTCCGACTCACTCTATGGCCACAAAGATGATCCTATTTACCATACTCTTTCTCTCAGACTAGATCTAAGGGATGAAAAGTTTCTAGTTCCGGTATGTAGCTGTACTGGACCAAGGAAACCTCATTCAGTATCGAATATCAATATTCATAGTGCGTGTGAGGAGCCGTCGCTTAACTTTAATCCATTGATACGTTCTCACTCAGAGGGCGAGTCAGATTTCTTAGATAAAACAAAGGAGGATGGATGTGCAGAGGAGAATAGTGTAGATGTTCCACAGAAGAAGAGAATTCAGAGTAGTGAAATAACGAGAAATCCAATTTAAGACGATCGTTTGAAAAGTGAATTTACCGCTCAAGATAGAAACTTTACTGTAGCTGAAACTGAAAGTGAACACATCGAGAATCCTTATTCAGACGAATGTTTAAAAACAACCTTGAGGAACACCAGTTGCATTCACCTGACTCTTTAACTGAAATTTTTATTTGTCATCCCTAGGCATGAATAAAAGTTGCATAAATACTAGAGCAAAGTTCGTAACAAAGCAACGAGTAGGTCTTCCGTTGGAGTTGCGTACAGGAAGTACTGACCTTGGGTCAAGATCATTACACATTCTCAGATAAAAAGCAATCTCGAATGAAGTATTAACTTCCAATATTTTACCATTAGAAGACAGTAGAAAAATTTACAGTTTCTCTTTCAGTGACCTTGAACCTGTCCAAATGACCTTGCATGAAGCCCATAACAGTTTCCGGTTTTGGCCAATCCTCATCTGTTGGTTTCCGACTGGTCAAGATCATCTATTTTTTTCAGACCATACATCAAGTCAAAACATCTTATCTTCCATAGTTTTTTATTAGGTGTAAATTATTTGCAGATTCAATGCAATTATTTATGTCAATTATGGATATTGAAAAAAAATGGCTTCCTTAGATTTCTGCGCTGGCCTAAAATTTTAAATCCAAAACTTTAAGTCTTCTCAGTAAATAAAGTACAAGGTGTATTATGATACGCTATCACATAATGTTCTATAACGCAGATTATATTATCTGCTTTACAATTACAAAAAAAAAAGATATTTAATTCAGTAAGTTATGATAAAAAAAATTACACATTTTCTGAATATTGATCATTAATAATCTTTCATTGAAGTATCGATACATGCAATGTATCTCCATTACAAAATCATAGACCCTATAAGGATTTTTCACTTTTTATACCAGTGATCTTGAACTTGCCTGAATGATCTTACTCAAGGTCATGACACATCCTCAGGTCATAAATAACCTTTGAACCAAGCATGAACTTCCAGTGAATCTCAATTACAGTTATATCCGAACAAGAATTTTGTACTTTTCTGCCCGTGACCTTGAACTTGCCAGAAAGACCTAGTATCAAAAAGAAATCTGCCAGTGACTTTGAACTTGTCCAAATAACCTTGGGTAAAGGTTAGAACAAACACTTGATCTCAAACAATATCTGTTTCAAGAAAGAACTTCCAGTGATTGCCCCTCACAAATTTATAGCCCAGACAACAATTATACAACCTTTTCTGCCAGTGACCCTGAACATGTCGAAATAATCTTAGTTTAACATCACGTCAAACGGGCTGATGATAAATAATCATTGTATCAAGTATGAGCTTCCAAAGTTATAGCCCAGATAGTAATTTTACACTTTTCTGTCAGTGAATTTGAACTTGTCGGAACGACCATTGGTCAAGGTCAAGACACACCACTGGATCATGAACAATCTTCCTACTAAGTTTGAGCTTCCAGTGATTCCCTAAAAGTCAAAGTTATAATGGCCCATACAAGAATTTCATACTTTTTCTGCCAGTGACCTTTAGCTTGCAGGAATGTCCTTGGATCAAGGCACTTTCTTTGTTCCTAAGCAATCCCTGTATCAAGTATGAGCTTCCAGTGTTTCTTTTTTACATATTAATGACCCGGACAAAAATTTTTTTTATACTTTTCCAGTGACCTTAAACTTGCCGGAATGACCTTGGGTTTAGACCATCATACACCTTCGGGTCATTAGCAATCTTTGTATCAAAAATGAACTTCCAGAATTTCTCCATAAAGTTATAATCCGGGCAAATTTGTAGGGATAGATGGACAGCTAGAAAGACGTACGGACAGATGAACAATGTGATTCCTAAATGACTCCCAACCCCTTCAAATTTCGTTTGCGAGGAATATAAATTCTTATGTTAAATTTTGATCGACCATTCTGATCCCCCAGCCTTATCCATGGGGTCATAATTTGAAAAAAAAATGAATTTATACTTATCAGGTAGCTTTCACATAAGTTTTCTCTTTCTGACTCGGTGGTTCTTGAGTATAATATTTTCATATGACCCCACCAAAATTTTACTACTGTAACATCTATATTTCTCAATTGTCTCCTGTTTGAAGAGAATGTGGCCCCAAAAAAATGTCTGTGCAAAATTTGGTTGATATTGGTCCAGTGATTCTTGAAAAGAAGATAAAAATGAAAAAAAAATTACAAATAGGTTTACGACGACAACAACGATATCGCCAACACCACAAACGCCAACAGCGATTACAGACAATGAACAAATTATGAACAGAAAAGTTCACCTGAGCCTTTGGATTGAGAAATGATCATAAAATACTAATTAAAAATTCAATTTTTGTCATTGTCAATATTTTTTATGATTGACAATTCAACTGGCCTGCACAAACAAACAAAAATAAATAAATAAATAAATAAATAAAAAATAAAGAACAGAGAACTTTTAGCTAGGTCTTTGGAAAACATGCAGGAAATCAGGTCCCCGAGTGTTAAACTACAATGGTTTCGCGCCAAACGTTGCGAGTAAATCTTCGCGCTTTTTTCTAGGATTATTCTGTTGGATGGACATAATTACTCCATGAAATTAAATAAAGTTTGTTCTCAAGCTTTGGAAAAATAAGTAACATATCCTTGATGTTGGGAACGAAGAGAGAATATTGAAGTCTCTTCATATTCTTTATAAGGATTTAAAGTTAAACTGAAACAGACAGATTAAACTTCTTAAAAAGAAATACTGGCTTAACCCCCCGGAAATGCAGAAAATAACTTTGGTAGGAAAGTGCCTTCTCACCCCAACCCCCACCCCCAACAACAACAATATGGATGGAAACGTTTATCATGCTTATACGCTCTATAGATATTGATTACTTTAAAGTCAGGCAAACTTTTTGAAAAGTTACTTGAGTGTTTAAGGAATATGCTCGTCCTTTTATAAAACATGCCTATGAAGTTATGTATACATACAAATTCAATACACGACGGCTGACCTGCTTTTCCTCGATTTTATTTTCGACACATCTTGTTGCTTTTCCGCGACTACTCATTACTGCTTTTATGCATTTGGTTTTTACTCTAGTTATGTGTTATCTCCTTTTTTAATACTCCTTTTCCTCCATTACTTAAATGGTCATGCTTAGCAATGAACATCAAATGATTGCCGATATTTACCTGTATTTCCCCAAAGCATTCTCCCAGGTAGTGAGTACGTACTTACATGGTGATAAGAATTGAAAGAATCTCGCATTTCACACTGGTCGAAGATAAGTTTTAAATGTTTTAAACAATATTGAAATTGTGTAATCTACGATGGATTTACATACAGAAAAGTAAATGTTTTAAAAAATGGTGCTTTATCTGCTTAAAATCCTACTTCCACTTCCCCGTGGTAAGCAGGGGGCAACATATTTTATCTGGCTATCGAAAGAGGTGCAAAAAAGCTAAAAATTATTATCGTGGAAAAGCAACAAAACTTGTCGCGGAAAAGCAGGAATATTTTTCGCGGAAAAGCCGTATTGAATCGCGGAAAAGTCAAATTGCGTATACGACGTACATGTTTTAACATTGTTTATTTGTCCAGTTCAGATCTGACCATCTTCCAATTATTCATAAAATTTACGTTATTATGATCAGTCTAAAAATGTGTATGTCAAAACACAGTTGGAGAAAGGGAATATTTTTTATGACGTTACTTGCCAAATATTAATGTATAATTTATCTGTTTAAAGCACAAGTGCTTGGGGACGGGACCCCACCCCGCGTTCCGTACCCCAAGGGTTCTTCGACTTTTTTAATATATAAAATAGGTTTTCTTTGAAACATTCACGTAGTATTACAACTGAAAAATCCGGATTTAACTAAAAACTAACCTTTTATAAAAATTCACATGCTCTTATACCATAAGAGAACCAGAGAGTGTGATTCTTTTTTAATAAAAGGTTAGTTTTACTAAACTTTTTAAGGAATTCATTCAATATAAGGTCATTACCACAAGCTTTATTGTTCTTCAGTAACTTAATCATCTTTTGTACTTCTTCTAATGTAATTTCTTCTTTCAAATCTCCATTTAATTCTGTAATATTTTCAATATCAAAATTATCAAAGTCATCATCACTACACTCTGAATTTAATTTCTTAAAATGGTCAAAAAAAGTCTCTAAGCTTATTTTATCTTTGATCTGTATACTCTGTATACCTGTTTTGTTAATCAAAGTCCAAAATGACTTTGGGTCATTATTTTGCAAGTTCTTTACTTTGCATATAAATGTTTCTTGTATTCAATGAAAAATTTATTAACAATTTTTTTGTATGCTCTACTGCATTGTAGTAAATTATTTCTGGACTAATTTTCATTGCCAGTGATATTTTTTGGATTTGTGGTAACTTTTACGCTTTACATTACATTCTGCACTTAACCAAGGCCTATTAGGTTTAGATTTCTTATATTTGTGATAAAAAAGCTTGTAGGGTTTCCGTTCTTTTGTACTGTAGAATATGAAAGTAGAGTTACCGTTCTTGATGGGATATCTAGATACTTTAAAAACATTCGAATTTTAAAAAAATCAAATGGGTTGCATTTATTTACAATAATTTCGTTTTTAAACAAAATTCATCAATCATGAAATACATGTAAGTACATGTAAAAGAAACGTCTATTAATTAAAAAATATATCTTAAGCGTCACAATACATACTAAATGTATCTTGATCTTCTGACGGTAGTATTTAAAAAGAATTCTGTATTAGTCAAACATCCTCGTCGCTAAAAGTTCACAATATGTTTAACTATTTCTAAAGTTTGAAATAGGAATCGCCGAAGCAATATCATCGTCGGCAAACGCTTGCGTGGTGAAAAAATGAAAACTTTTTTTTTATTTTTTGCAAACGAAAAAGTTCTTAATTTCTTATTTAAAAAAATAC